AGCAACGCTTACGCTCGTCCGTGGTGGCTGGGCTGGCTCCTGTCACCAAAGATCTCGTACTGATAAGTTGCTCCTCTCAAGTGGATATCATCGGTGTGGATACGCAGGGGAACGTTGCGAAATGCGTTATCGACATGGGGGCTCTGGGAGGTAATGTATTTGAAAGTGGATCAGTGTCTTGTGCTTCTGTGACGGCCATTGTATGCAACTTAGGTTTTTAATTCTCTCCCTATAAGCTCTTCATTACGCTGTCTTCGTTAGTACAGCTTCTTTCTTTGGATGGTAGGCAAGAGGACGTCTCAGCTGTCACGCACGTTGGACGGTCCGTGAGTAACGCTTCTTGTTTCGTTGGTTTGTTTAGTTTATGTGACTTGTGTAATACTTAGTGTTTTGTTAATGGGTGGATAGCTGTCTTTACGTACTCCTTGTATTTACAAGTTTATAGATTAAACATTGCTTGGGTGAAATCTGTTTTTCTTTCTCTGATCATCATCGTCATCATTATCGTTATTATGATCATTATCATTATTATTATTATTATGATTATTATTATTATTATTATTGCTATTATTATTAGTATTATCACTATCAGTATCATTATTATTATTATTATTATTGTTATTATTATTATTATTATTATCATTATTATCATTATCATTATTATCATTATCATTATTACTATCATTATCATTATCATTGTCATTGTTATTATTACTACCATTATCATTATCACCATCATCATTGTAAACTTTTTTTTATCATTCCTTTTATCGTGTATCCATTCCTGCACGGCTATCACCAAAGCATTATCTTTCTCCCACACCTCTAACCGCCAGATACCCCCCCCCCCCCTAGCCCGGAGAACTTCAGAACTTAAGGGCAACGAGGGAAACGACGGACACCATCGAGATCAAGTACGATCCCTGGACGACCAACCCCCAGAGTACGACATCTAGCAGATAAAACTCGACAGCTATCGACGCGCACCACATCCCAAGTTCCTGCACGAGAGCATCTTCTCCGACAGAGAGGCGCGTACGAACTACGTGTGAGTGCGTGTGAGAGCCGTGTCAACCGATAAGCAGGCTAGTTCATGGGTGTCGACCAACGCTTCGACCTCGGAAGACGTCCCTAGCGAACCACAGAGCTTCGACGTGCTTGAAACGACCGCCTCGGCCGTGACTCTGCGTGAGTCAGTATGCTCCTGACGGGTCCTCATACTCCAAGACGGTGACGCCCTTGGACTTCCAGGTAGAGGAGGGCGTGACCGGCCTAACCACTTCAACGTCACCGGCTGTATTCAACGCTATCACCGTTGGCTGCCTATATCCTGACGGTGGAGGCCGTTGTGGGAGTCAATAAAGTAATTTCTATATATCACTGAAGAAAAGAACGCCGATTTAAACGCGCATGCTGATGTGTTGCATCTTATTTTTTCTGGGTCTTTTTTATTTAATTCTCCATGCTTTGCGAAAGCGTTATTACGTAACATTAATGTTTACTTTGTATCATTCACCATTAATATGAAATATGCATATTTTCCGGCAAAGCCATTCTGCATATGTATTATTGTATTATGGGTATTATCAGGGTGAAATATATCTTTACTTATTGATATAGAAATGCTTAAAGATATAGAAATGAAACACATCTTTAATCTAGATATGTATTTTTATATATCCGTACATCAGACCATTTAGTCTAATTTAAAAATAATTTCGAAAAAAAAATCATTTTGTCATTTTTCCTTATCTATTAAAGTAATAGCGGTTACAGAGTGTGAATTCCTATAAAATCACACACTTATTTTTCTGAATATAACTAAATTTATACCTTACCTATTAATACGTATTAACTTCTCTTCTTGAAACTGACACCTCTTAATATTCGGAAGACATTGTTTCTATACATCTAGTTATCACATGTCGTCTCACGGAGAAAGGAACCCTATAAACAGAAGTACAGAGCAGAGAAAGACAGGAGAGGCATCGGAAATCAACAATTTCGAAGCGAGAATAGAGTATCGTAGGATCACAAAAAATGGTACTGGCAAATGGGACACTTGTTGCTTCCCTTGAGACACCGCCGCAAGCAGTCCGCGTGGAAGAAGTGTTGGCAGGGCGTGATGCGCGCGCAGGTCATGGGCGTCAGGCAGATGGCACACACGTCGTCGTGGTTCGTCAGCTCCGAGTGCGTGGCGACGCGGTAGAGCTCGAGCGCCTCCAGTTCGTGCCGAAGGGGCTTGATGTAACCCTCCTGGAGTTCTCGATACTTGATTCTGATGTTCGTGAAGGCCGACAGGAAGACGAGTCTGAGGTTCCCGGTGAACACGCAGAGCCCCGTCAAGAGCGCCGACAACGAGAGCTGCAGCAGGAGGATGAGCGCCGGCACGTAGAAACTCTCCAGGCTCTCGAAGTAGTCGAACCTCCTGTTCTCCAGCCACGAGGCGACGATGTCCATGAACACCTTTTCGGTGACGAGGAAGTACAACCCGGTGACGACAAGGTAAGCGGTCGTCGGGGTGTAGTTCTTGAGCCCCTTTTCCAGCCCGAAGACGAGGAGCATGAACACCACGGTGATGATGAACGTGATGGCCTTGGTCCACTCCAGCACGATCTTGGTGGCGGACAGGGCCAGGTGGCGGACGTTCGACGTGCGGGCGATGTTGACGTACATACTCCAGTCCTCCCGTTCGATCAGCTCCTGCGGGGGAGGACGGAGAGGTTCGATCGTTAGGACTCCCTCTCGAGTGGAAGGAGGCGGTGGTGAAGCTACGAGGACGAGGGAGAGCGGGAAAGAGGACATGGCGGAGGGGACGATGGAGTGGGAAAAGAGGGAAAAGGTGAAGGGAGGGAAGGACGGAAGGAGACGGGAAAGGAGAGAAGGATGGGCGAGGGAGAAAGAGATTGAAAGAGGGGCAGAGAGGGGGGACAGGCAGAGAGAGAGAGAGAGAGAGACAGAGAGAGAGAGAGAGAGAGGCAGAGAGAGAGGGAGAGGGAGAGGGAAGGAGGGAGGGAGGGAGAGAGAGAGAGAGAGAGAAAGAGAGAGAGAGAGAGATAAATAGATAGATAGATAGAGAGAGAGAGAGAGAGAATAAGAGATAGATAAATAGATAGAGAGAGAGAGAGAGAGAATAAGAGATAGATAAATAGATAGATAGATAGAGAGAGATAAAAGAGAGTAAATACGGAAAGAAAGACTGTCGAAGACTAGATAAGAGAAAAAACAAACAATAATAATCAACAGTGAAAAACGATTTCAACCAAACAAGGCATTAAATAACTTACTCAAGTGAATCAATCAAGTCACATAAACCTTAAACGCAAAAGCAAATAAATAAAGCCATCACATCAATCACAGTATCAATCAACCAAGAGGCAAATATCTCAAACAAAAAAACAATAACAAAACAAAATACCTTGACATAGGCTACGCAGTACGCAATGACATTGAAGAACATAAGCGTGTAGAGACTCGAAGTTCTCTGATTGGCCAGCATCAGCCGTTCGCACAGACTGAAGAATACCACCTGTGGCATAACACATATCGCTGGGAATAAGATATATTTATTTACGTAATGAGATAATGGGGTTTATGTTCCCTGTTCGTTCTGGCGTCTCGAAAAGCTCATCTTGAGTGAAATGAAAGGCATGTTTAGTATATTCATTCATTATGACGTATCATCATCATCATCGGGGAGCTAACGCCGGTAGAGGCGCATAGCCGCGTCCACCCTTCGCTTCCACCTGCGAGGGTCTCTTATGGCGAGTCGCCAGGCAGGGGCCCGGCCCATCTCTAGTTCCTCACGAAAGGTTTGATCGATCTGCCCAAGCCACGACCTTCTCGGTCGTCCCACAGGCCTCCTCCACCCAGGGTTGTCTCGGACAGAGACAACCTGATGGGCAGGATCATCCTGCGGGAATCGAGCCAAGTGTCCATATAGCCTGAGTTGGCGATCACGGATTGTGCAAGTAACAGGTCCTGTGCCGGTCTAATGGTGTAGCTGTTGGTTGGACACATGGTCCCGCCAACTGTACCCCATGATCCGGCACAAGGATCTGTTACAAAAGGCATCGAGACGAGATTCCAAAGCACAAGATAGTGTCCAAGTTTCACTACCATATAGTAAAATTGGCAGTATCAGGAAAACTCGTAGCTTGGTCCTTCTGCACAGGTACCAGCATCTCCAAACACTTGTCGAGAGATTTCATGACCCCTGCTGCCAGGCCAATCCGTCTACTGACTTCCTGGTCTGACAGCCCAGAGTCATGAACTGCACTACCGAGGTATATAAAACTCCTTGTGACTTCGATGTTTTCACCGCAAGCACGTACCGACTGCACAGGGTCTCCTAGTAGGCCCCCAAAATCCTGGATCTTGGTCTTGGTCCAGGAGACCTCTAGCCCCAGGGGCTTCGCTTCATTGCTAAATGCATCAAGAGCCGCCACTAGGGTTTCCAGAGATTCAGAAAAAATAGCAACATCATCAGCAAAGTCAAGGTCTGTAACCTTGACATTGCCCAGAGTTGCTCCACAGTGACTTTGGACAGTAGCTCTACCCAGTATCCAATCCATGCAAGTGTTGAAAAGTGTTGGTGCAAGAACACAGCCTTGCCTCACGCCTGAACTAACAGGAAAGAAGCTAGACAGGCCCCCACCACACTTTACAGCACTTTCAGTGCCTGTATACAGGTTTGCTATTAGCCCAACAATCCTTGTTGGATATCCTCTCAGTCTCAGGATCTCCCAGAGTGATTCGTGATGCACCGTATCAAACGCCTTCTTGAGGTCGATGTAGGCTGCGAGCAACCCACTCCGAACTCACGACGGCGCTCTACAATGACTCGAAGCACCAGGAGGCGGTCTATTGTGGACTTACCAGGAGTGAACCCAGATTGCTCCGGTCTTTGGTGCCTCAGGAGGTGGTCTCTGATACGTCTTAGTAAGATGTGGGCGAGTACCTTGCCTGGTACACTGAGCAGTTAATGCCTCGGTGATTGC